TGCTCCCTCAAACCTAGGGATATTTCCCTGCTGCCAAAGGGTGGATCTGTTCTGTTCTCCAACAATAAAAAACAGATGATTTTCCTTCTTAAAATACCCGAAGGGGATTGCTAACACAGATCCGCTTCACCGTGTGCCCATCCTAGTGTGCACAGCCAAATCCCATCCCTCCCAGCAGCAACGAAAAGCTAATCCGTGGCATTGAAGGCACCCAGATTAACCCACTGCAGGATTAGGATGCTTGAGCTGTTGTTAGAAGATTAGTATATTTGGTTGTCAACACTTGCTGAACTTGGCCTGAAAATGATTTCCAACGAGGTCGCTGACTCTTGGGTGCCAGTTTGCCTGGCACATTAGGAAAGGCTGGAGTTAAAGCAAGTGGCTGCAAAGATTAAACTGGAGCTCTGAGTGTGCAGAATACCTTTAGGATTTAAACCTTCCATCACTGCTGATAGGCACAAAGGGCTTTGGCAGTTTCGTCAGAATTGCTGAGCTCCTGCTTTGCTGGGGAAGTGTTTCTGGAGCTTTGCCTTCTGGAGTTTCCTGCTGTTGACAGTGTGTGGCATTATGTGGGTGAGCTGCCCACAGATGAACTTGTCCCAGTTCCTGCACAGTGCAAAATGAGTTTATTTTGAGGACAGGATCTCCACAGGGGCACCTCTAGGTAGAAAGCAATTGGCTTCCACTCCGTCCTGGGACTCAAATTGTCTGTTCTCATAATGTTTTATTTCAGCTACTAGCAGGAGGATTCATGTTTTTTTTTTTTAAAAAAGGGTCTTACTCTTGTCAGCAGGGCAGTAATACCAGCACAAAGTCTGCTCATGCTATTTCAGCACCTTGTAAGTGCTTACATGGCCTTCCAGTGCATGGAGGAGTGGCAGTGGAGCTGTGGCCCCCTTGCAAGCAGTCCTGCTGTTGTGTGTGAACTGGTGTCTGAGGTGCCCTGATGCTGGGCAGCACATCATGGTGCTGCAGGGAGTGTGCATGGGGAGGGATGGGCATGGTACAGCTCCTCTCTTTCTTGCAAAGCAGCTATTTTCCTATTTATTTTTTTTCCCTCTGTAAAATTGCAAATGAGAGCTCTCAAGAGTCTAAAGATAGACCCTTTAAAGATTTTTGGCAACACAGAGAGAGTATGTGTTTTCCTCTGTTTATCAGTGGAAAACTGCCATGCTGGTAAAATAACTGTTAGTTGGAAACTGCTTTTCCCTGTCATGAGCCAGGTGAATATGAACTTATTATTTTGATTCAAAGCAGCTTGTCTTGAAAAGTACCAACCACTGTCTCTGTCATGGAATTGGTTCCAGTGATTTCATTCAGTGTTGCTGCAACGTATCTGGATTTCAAGGCACATCCTTTTGTGAATGTGGATTGTATCATGTTTCCCTTTGTGCATACAAACTTTTGCAGCCATTTCTTGTCTGAAATGTACATAACTGCATTTGTCACTCCTCTGACAAATTTTTCTTCCTCAACAGGCCAGCAAAGATATTCAAACGAAACCCATGTTGAAGATATAAGCCTAAAAGTTCTTTTAGTGAAGATACACTAGAGAAAGGTAGGGTCTTTCCATAAATACTTCCTTTGAGTTTGACTCTGGTATCTTAAATCTGTAGCCAGCCTGAGCATTCCCACTTTTGGGAATGCTGTACAGCCTAGTGAAGCAAGAGCCGTTCAATTTTAATACCTTTATGAGCACTAAGTACATTCCTCTGTACTTTACAAACATACTTAAGGGGATTTCTGTAGTGCTGCATGATAAAATAATTTTGAATATTTTATCTAAGGCCTGTGTTGCAATTTATTCTGCAAAAAACCCTTCTGAATCTCAGAACGTGGGCCTAAAGTTTCTGCCTGGATGACTGTGTGTGGCAAGAGGACAAGGCCACCTATGGTGGCATTGCTTCCAGCTGTCTCACTGCAACAAGAGATCCACTATGGAATAACCAGCAAGAACATGGGACAGCAAGGGGTTGGTGTATGTTGGTTCTCCCACTTGGCCAACGTTTCCCACATGCAGAACTTACCTGGATTTAGATCAGCACGGACCTGGCTGACCAGCTGGTCTGTATTCAGTGAAGAATTTCAGGCCACTCATTCGTTGGATGAAAACGTAATGTCTGACATCATGCTAAGGTAGTTTGGACTATCTGATGAGCAAACACACACATATATATCTCCACTACATATATACACAAGTAGGCCATAAATAAGACATGGTCCAGTGTGGAAAATGGTGCACTGTAGATTTTAGGAACAGAGACCATATAGTGGCTCCTGTATTTCAGCCCATGCTTGATGTTACAAGAGTTTATAAACTTGTAACCTGAAGGCAGTTTCTAGGACAGGGGCAGAGTCACTGGGTTCATATCTGGGGGATACACAAAGTGAAAAAAGGAGAGAAAAATGCAAATGCCACCCTGCTGTGAGCTCACGCCTTTGTCTTCTTCAAGGAACAGGTTATGTATGAGCAGCTCTGGCTAGTAAGAAATGATCATACTTAAGCCACTGGTTTCCACATCAGAATACCTTCAAAGGGTGGACCTCAGAATACCTTCAAAGGGTGGACCTCACACCTACACTGATAAATAGGTGAGGACAGTGCTGGCTGGATGCCCTGCAGTTCCCACTGCTGGATAATCCATGTTCACACAGGCTTTGCACACCTATCTGAACGGCCAAGGAAGCTCCAGCTGGGTTAATTCCCAGTCCTATGATGTTGTTTCCAATGGGTGAGGATAAGTGCCAGTTAATCACTGCCTTTATATTTGAGATGGGGCAGATCCCAGCAAGACTGTCTGCTTGGTAGCCACTGTAGCTGCACAAGGTAAATAACATTTCGATGCTGAAGAATATTTTAAATTGGGTATAAAAGTTTTAGTTTGAGAGGAAACAATCAGAGATATAAAATGAAAGGGATGGATGTGGTGAGCCTGTGGTTCTGTAGCAGACAGAGGTGCTGGTGGAGACTGATCAGGTAGCATGGCTTCCACTGCTTCTATGGGATGGGCTTGCACTGGTGGGGGGGGGCGGGAGCCTTTTCCATATCTAAAAACAAAAATTTACCTGTGAACCAATCTCCATCTGTTGCTATAGGAAGATCTGTAGCTGCTCACAGGATCCAGACCTTGCTGTGTTGTTAATGGTTAGACTGGATCTTAGAGGTCTTTTTCAGCCTAAACTTTTCTGTGGTTCTGTGTGTTAGATCTGGGCGTTCATCCCTGGAAGTGTAAGGGCCAGGTTGGATGGGGCTTTGAGCAAACTGGTCTAAGTAGAAGGTGTCCCTGGAGCTAAATGATTCCAAATGTCCCTTCAAATGAAAACCATTTTATGATCTCCATCTTTCCCAAACCCCAAATCCAGGCTGTTTCTCCAGCACCCTCTGCCAGCATCCCCCCTCCCACTCCGGAGTGCTGATTCTGAGATACAATATTTTGCATTAAGTGCTCAGTTTCCCCCCTCCTGGCAGAAATGGGGAAGGACAAAGCAGGCAAGAGCCCAGAGCGTGCACTCATTAGCTTCTGTCTGCCAACAAGTTTGGGATCATGCAGTGTTATATGCAATGTCTGGCTGTTATAAAAGGCTTTGGTTAAGTAATCACATCTCTTGCATAAGTGCTTGTTTTTGGGAGGCTTTAGCCAATTGGAGGCTGCAGCAGCTCACAGACAGAAAGTATGTCTAACTACTGTGATACTTTCTTTGCTAATAATACAAGATTATTAATCTGCTGAAAGTTGTATAAAATCTCTTTAGATAAGATTGGGTGGCGGAGACTCCCCAGCGCTGCTTGTAGCTGAACTACAGCTGTAAAACACTGCCAAAAATCCTGTGTGGATCCCCGTGAGTAATATTTCTGATTGTTCTAAAGGGTGTTTGTGACTGGAAACTGCAGGCAGAGACATATTGCAGATGTTTATTGCAAGCAGTAAGTTAGAAGGAGGCAGGAGGTGAGAGACAGTGGTGAAACTATTGATGGGTATAATAAAGCTTTCCTCCTAGACTTCCGTAAGCAAGCATGGGTTTCTCTGAAGATGTGCAATCAAGGTTCTTCCAAATAAGCTAATGAAAAAGAAATGAGGTGCTGAAGACAATTACAGGACTGCAAGAGGACAGAGATTTGGACTGACAGTGAGATTAAAGGACCATCTTGTCCCATATATTGGTTTGGAGCGGCCAAATGTCCTGTTCTTATATTCTTTCCTTGATCATTGACAAGTGTACAGTGATATTTTTCTCCTATGTTTTCATGGCTTTCAGAAATCTGCATGTCAATTATTTCCTGAGCCAGAAAAGATATCTCTAATAGTACAAGTGGATTTTTCTTTTCAGAAGTTGCTAATCCACTGTATCTGTTGAAGACAGCGTGTTGTTTTGTGATTTGACTGACATAAATCTAACTGGGATTTGATATCTTGAGTTAAATGAGTTCTCCCACATAAGATTTTAATTTTTATTTTAAAAAAGGGTGGGTTTTCCACTTAGAGAGAACTGAAAAGGGAAAAGCATGTATGGATTTACAGAAAACAGGAATTCCCTTCCCACTTCCTTGTGGCGTGTCTGGATGCAGCTCAGTCAATGAACAAAGCCCGGAACTATAAAACCATCCACTTTTGTGGGAACTGAAATTTATTAGTTCAAGACTGAGCAACCTGGAACGACTCCAGTTGTTATTCCTGCCAGCCCTGGAAGGCATTAGAGTGGCATTGTACAGAGAAGGCAGCTCAAGTGCTGAGCTGTGAGGAGAAATAAAGGCTGTTGCCTATAGTTTGGATGTATGTATGCTTACTCTTAGAGGTGGCACAGAACTCTGCCATGATAGAACAAATTCTGGACTAATGGAAAGCACTTGGGAAAGCTCAAGTTACTACTTACTAACCTTGAAAAAACGTAGTATGTAGATTTTACAGTCTATAAAGTTCTTGAGACCTGCTAAAGCATTTAAATCTTATTGGCAGCCAGTAGATGAGGAGGTAATACCACCATGAAAGGAAGTTAATTTGTAGGAGTTATGGGATTAGAGAGGTAAATGTGAAAAGTTATGTTGAACTAAAAGGCACTTGGCTGCAAGGCCAAGACTTCAATATTTTCATGTTTGCTTCCTAGAGTGGGTAAAACTGATAGGCCTGTGTGCTTCAGTAAAACTGCAATAGTGATGTAAATAAGCTGGGATCACTCTTTTGCTGGCTGAGTATCTAGGCCTTAAAACCTTTGATTTAGGCAAACCTAAGCTATGGCTCTAGCTCTGTGCCAGTAAGGGATGGAGGCATGGAGGGATGGAGCAGGCTGCTCACTGGACAGCCAATGGCTTCCCATTTCCATTCTACCACCTAGTGAGGTCTCCTCAAACACAGGTGCTCCCAGCCCATGCAAGGCCTTTTTAGTTCTAATGAAAACACCATGAAAAAAAGTCAGCAGTTAAAATTTGGAAATTTACAACATTATTTCTAAAACAGTTTCTGTTTTACAGAACAGGAACAAATCCAGGCATCCTCTAGGGTAGTCAAACAATATCTCTAACATGTTGCAGGGTAAGATGGATGCTGTACACAAGTTGAAGGTTTTGGTGATGTTTCTGTCTCTGGCTACTTTCACGGTCATGGTGATAATGAACGCTGGAAATGCCACTGGGATATTCAAAGGTAACACAAGCAAATTGTCTTTGTTCAGAGGTGGATTTCATGCATTCTACAGTTTGATGATATATGGATGGGATAGATCTGTTTGTTAGCTCATCAACTGTCCAAATACACCTTGTTCTGTGAAAGGTGGAAGTAGCTGGTGCATCCTCCAGGTGTTACAGCCAGATGCCTGAGCCCTATCTAGTCCCTTAAAATCCAAGGAAATGGTCTCGTCCCTGGTGAACCTTGATCTAGTGGTGCAATGTTTTTGCAGACATTGCCCTTGTGTCCCTGCTGGGAGATGTTCAGGCTGCTGCTGTGGGTTTATAGAGGGCAGTGGTGTTTATAGAGGGCAGTGGTGTCATGTTTGAGCACTTCCCAGCTGAATCTGCCAGCAACTGACATTGTGCTTTTCTCTGGATTTCACACACAGCTGGCTCCTCTGGTTCTGTATAAGAGGGAAGGTGCTCGGGGTTCCCCATAGGGACAGTGATCCCATAATGGGTGTCTAAAGGGAAGCCAACTGCAGCATGTGGCTTGTTTACACCAAGGGTGTGCTTTCATCATCCCCAAACCCATTGGGGTGTGGATGGAATCTGGAGGAAGATTGAAGGGTGAGGGAAATCAGCAGTCTTTCCCCATCCTTAGGATGTAGTAACAGTTTTGCCTGCAATAACATTCACCACCACAGGTCTATTCAGGACAACCCCTGGAAACATCTCAGACAAGTACAGCACTGATTTCACACCAGCTGGCTGGACTTTCCTCATCTGGAATGTCATCTATGCCTGGCAGCTCGCCTGGCTTCTCTACGCCTTGTCAGGGATCTGTCGAAGGTATTTTCCCTATTTACTGTTTATGGTATAGATGAGAAGGGACAGTGACTCTTCCTTTCTGTAGTAGCTCAGAGTCTTAGCCCCTTTTCTGGGGTTTCTAGTAAGAGTAAACCCATTGCTATTTATCTTGACTTGGCATGCAGAAGGACTGCTGCTGGAGCACCTCTTAGGTTGAGCATCCAAAGCTGGGAAGCAGTTTGGAGGTGTACATGAACTGCTCTAACATGTGAACAGGTATCAGTGTGTAAACTGCTCTGTGAGGCCTCATTTCCACTAACTCGTGGGATTTGACAGTTTTACCTGCACTTACCCACTGCTAGATGCTGACAATCCACAGGGGCAAAATTAATGGATTATGGATCTAATGCTCTGAGTTTACTTGCTGTTAGACATCAGAGAATCACCACTGGGGGGTCTCTTGGCTTGTTGAACTGGACTTCAAGCTTTTTCTGGGGCTGTGAGGTCAGTAACTGCCTCATGCAGTTCCTTGCAGTATCTGTAGTATTCCATGATGTCTTCCGTGGGGCAGACTTACACTGTACCTCTCCTGTCAAGGGGGACCATGGACTGCTTAGTTGGAGTTGTGTATCTGCTATTTTTCCATGGTTTGTAAGAAATCTCTCAGTTGGTGATGAGGAACACTAAATGTTGAGGGAAGAATGAAGTGTGTGTTTGTACAGAATTACCACTCAGTCCATACACGTGTATGAGCACACACAAAATACATACTCACATACTCATACAGTGATCCCAAAAACCCCAGGAACTGGGCTAAAATTCCATGACCACGCCATTGCTGCCACCAGCAGTGGCACAAGCTTTACAGCATCTGTGGAGCAGTCCTTAGTATCCACTGTACCTGTGATGGTGCAGAGACCAGCAAGAAGTTCTGTACTGTGGGACAGTATCCAGACGGGGAAAGCCACAGGGACTGTGTTGTGTCAGAGAAGGATGCACAGGAGAAATAGTCTGATTTAACTGGAATATTTAACTCCAGTGTAGAGTCCCTGGTAGTATAAGGAAAATGAGGCCAGGAAAGTTTGGTTGGTCAGTGTTTTCCTTTCTCCATGCCCACTTTTTTCTGGCAGGAATGAACTTGGACGCGTCTTCATAAAGCCAGACTTGCTGCCAATACCTTTTTATGTGGCATGGTGTCTGAATAATGGCCTCAATGTTGGATGGCTCTTTCTGTGGGACCGAGAGTAAGTTGCCTTTTGCTTTCTAGCACTCATTCAGAATGCCCCAGTACTCCATTTTGCCTTTTCCTCTATGTATGAACACTTAATCACAGCTATAAAACCCTATGGCAGGCCTTGGCAAAACACAGCCTTCATAGAAGTCTGGAGTTTTTGCATGATGTTGTCATCTTGCCCATGAGCTAGCTTGGTCATTGAAGTCTAAGATCTCCTCAAAGCTGCTGCTCTTCTATGTTTTTACCTCCACAGGTAAGACAGGAGCCATGCCTCTCTTCATAAACGCTCCCTGCCTTGGATTGTTTTCATAATCATGGCCACATTAAGGGCTTATAAAAGCACCACTGTCAAGAGGTGAAGAAATTAGTTGCAGTTAGGAAAATAACTTCGTGATTAACAGAGTAAAACAGCAACAGCAGAATGTCAAAATGTGGGCTACATGTAGTGATTACCTTTATTAAAGGCTGATCAACTTAAATTCAGGAAAGGCCAAACACTAAAGCTATGAATTAAAGCATTGTGACACCACTGAAAAAAATGTACTGTCTATTGTGTGTGTGTGTGTGTTCTTTGTCCTAGATACCTCCTTCCAGCCCTGGTGTTCCTGGTAGTCCTCACTCTTACCACGTGTGCCTCCCTCTTCATTTCACACCGAGCCTTGAGCATCTATTCCTCGTGGTTTGTGAAGGGTCACAAAGCTGAGCTCTGGCTCATCCGCATTCTGGTAGGTAGCATTTGGGAAGCTGTGCTGTGGGTAAATGCTAAAAAATGCCCCCCTCTGTGCAGTGTTGGAGGTATCAAGAGTGAAAGATTAATGGCAGGACACAGGTAAGGAAAGAGTTCTGCCCTGACTTTGGCTTGTGCTTGCTGCAGGTGCACACAGGCTTAATTGCATCTGCTTCCCATCGGACACCATGGGAATGATTCAGAGCAAGGTACTTCTCCAGCTGCTGCAGAGTGAAGTTTTCAGTGGAGTGGGAAAACTTCAGCCCAAACTTGCATCTGGGGTGGGGAGAATATTTCTTGCAGGGGGAGAAGCCATTGCTAAGGGTGGCTTCTGATGCTGTAGCTGATCATGATGTTCCTGACATTTGACCTCAAAAAATTATATATTTCTTATATGGGGAAGTGTACAGTGCTCAAGGATTCAAATGCAGCTGTCTTTCTGAGTTTTGTGAAATTCTGGAAGGAGTTGCTTTTTTGCTGTCCCTGAGAAGAGGGATTGTTTGGCAAACGTCACAGAGAAAAAAAGATAAACACGCTCATACTCCATCACTCCTGTTCCTCTCTCCTAGCTCAAACCTGCTACCTTGATGCCGCCTTCTTCTATCCAGGACATCTCGCATTGCACTCCCATGGCTGCCTGTGTGTGCTTTAACCACCTTTGATTCCTTACTTAATGTTGGGGCTGCTCAGTGAGAAAGCAGGTCAGCAGTAAGAAACCACCCAAGAAGAAAATAGGGGTTTTGGTGGAGGGGGAGTTCTGCACGGAAAACTTCCTACCAACCCTTCTGGAAACGTGCCTACATCTTTTAACACAAACTGAGAGTGGGTTCTGTTCTTTACACCCCTGTACTGAACTTCCCTGCAACACCTGTACAACACACTGCTGGGGTGTATCCCTGGACTTCTTTGGGGACTCCAAGGCTTCTATGCCTCTCCATCCTGAGGGACTTTTCCCGCAGCTGGGTCCAGAAGTCTGGCTTAACTGCCCCAGGGCCTCTGGGTCACAGAAGGCAGAGATTACCCCATTTATCACTGCTTGTCCCCTTGCTGTGCTGTGTGGCAGGTCCAGAACGGGCTGGCACTGTATGGAACGTGGACCACCATCGCCACTCTGCTGAACTTCGCCGTTGTGCTGATCTACCAGGGGAATGTGTCCCACGAGAAAGCAACCACTGCTTCTCTCAGCATCCTTGCTCTCTGCCTGGTGATATGGTAAGCGCCCTCATGGGTTCCCACCAAGCCTCAAAGACCCCTTCCACCTCTCACAAATGGTGTCTGTCTGTCCCTGTTTGTTTGTAGTTTGTCCCTGTCCCGATACCGAGCACAAAGACCTCTGTTATAATCTGTGGCAGATGAACTGGGACACTGGGCAGAGCATTTCTTCCCTGACCCTCAGGAATCCCAATAACTGCATGTTGTGGGCCAGGAACAGGGTTTTGTGACTTGCATGAGCCCAACCTGCCTCAGGTGTACAGACGAGGGTGTGATATGGAAAACATATGAAACATGGCTCTATTTTCCCCTAAACCTACCTTAAATAAATGACTTATGAATCTTCTGAATTTTAGTAAGTAAAAAAATTTTGGACTACGGTCCAAAGTAGCCCACAAACCCCCCATTCTTTGTCTAATTCCTTTCTTAGAGAATGTAAAAAAAAAAATAAAATAAAAGTGGAGAAAATGCTTACTTTGGTCACTCTTTTTCTTCACAGGTTTTACCTAGAAAACTTCTCTCTTGACAAGTATGTCCGCTATAACCTCACAATCTACCCAGTGGTCATAACAGCTCTGATTGGCAGCGCATGCAAGAACAGCTCGTTTTCATCCCCAGTGACCAACAACATTTTCATAGGTGAATCTTTCGGACTGTTTCCACCTCCTGCAAAAGAAGGGCAGTAAACAATTCCACGTTCTAACTGCGTATTAGGGGCAGAAAGCTTGCCACTTGAAAAGTGCTATTTATTAAAAGCAGAAACAGGGATATATTTGGAGGTATTTATTCTGCTAAGTAAAGAGTAGAGCAGAAATCAGTGACCATGAACCTTGGGGCTGAATGCAAACCTTGTGTTGACTCAAGTTCACTTCTGAGCTCTATGTGTTTGCCCCACAATCCTCCATCACCCACTTGGGTCCTCTGCTAGTCCATCTGACACAGGGTGGGCCAAGGGAAAAGCAGGGCTGGGATGAAGGCTGTGGACTTCCCATTTTCCCTATATTGTTTGGGATATGGGAGCAGTGCATAAGCTTCTGATCCATGGAGGGCTTCATAATGCAAAACCCTGCACATGCTCCTCTCCTATGCAGAGCTCAGGCCGGCCTTAACAAGTTTTCCTGGGATTATTTGGCAGCTGCCAGACACTGTACCAGAGCTGAGTGTAGTCATCCATTGTAAAAGGGCTTAAGCTGTCCAAATTCTGTACAATCACAGTCTGGCAGGAGCTATACCATTATGAGCAGTTTTATGCTGGCATGAGATGGACTGAGCTGTGTGAACTCTGAATCCTGCTGTAGCAGTCTGAGATGCCTATTCCCACTGTGGGGTCAGCAGAAGGGAGCATGTTCCCACCCTTCAGCCTTCCCACTGCCACATACCAGTGGCTAAAGCTAATTTCTGGACTGGTACCACCATTGTAACCATTCCAGTACATGTTCCTTTTGCTGTAAGTGCAGCTGGAGTTCTGGTCATGTCTAAAAGCATCAAGCAGGACTTGGAAAAGCTTGTCTGCCACAGGTATGGGGGCACTGGAGGCTTGTCTCCTGTGTTCCTGTAGTAGGTGCATTTCTACCAGCAAAACTTAAATCTTAGTGGTTGAGCTTGTTTGGCTGGTAGGACAAGAATGTGCTTTTCCCAAACTTGTCCATGTTTCTTTATATAGTTCAACTATTCTTGGAGTGTTTTGTTAATGTAATGCACTTTAATTCCTGTGTCCATGAAGCCTCCCCCTTTTTAGACATGCCTTGACCTGGAAACATTGAGCAGATTTGACTGTATAGCAGTGAAACTCTGAGAAATACAACTCTGGGGGCAATGGATCCTATACAGGGGATTTTTTTTTTTTTTCTCTTTCCCTGAATGCCCCCAGTACTGAGAGCTGGGGTATGACAAGAGGGGTCATGTCTTTCTCTTATGCTCTAACATGCTTTTGTTTCATTTTGGTTTGTTTCTAGTTGTTCTGCTGGCAGGGACTTCCCTGATCTTTGCTGTTCGGTTGGGACTAGTCACGTGGAGACACTATAAGAGACCACTGGAAGCATCAGGAACCACAGACCCGTCAGGCACAGTGGCCTGAGACCTCTGGCATGTTGTGGCAGATACTTGAAAGGGAGAAAAAAGAATTGGGCATCTGCTGGTCGTTCCTTCCAGTATCAATTGCCTTGTGCTTTTCCCTCTTATTCTCCATCCCAAAGGCAGGTAGATTGTGTCTGCAGACCTGTTTCGCTCCCACGTTCTCTCGGATGAGCTACTCGCAGCTTTTACTCTGGAAAAGTGCAGGGAAAGGTCCTTTAGCTGAGCAGCCCTGTGCACCTCTGTGATGCCTGAGCTGCAGCTCTCTGGTCCTACCAGAGCAAGGAGAGCTGCCAGTGGGAGGTCCTCAGTATCCACAAGTCCTGGTGCTGTGAGCAGATCTCCTGCAGGCAGCGACTGCTTCCTTTCCTGCTTCTCTTCAGCATGATAGAAACAGATACTACAGCTTGATATCTACCTTTACAGTGTCAGCTCTGATGTTTGATAGACAAGGGAGCAGGAGGAGTGACTGAAGACTTCTGACACAAATGAGTTGCCTTTCCCTGAGCTTGTGCTGGCTGGATGTCTCCTGCTGGAGGATGGTTTGTGGCCACTCTGGAAGGAGGTTAGATGTACAGATGAGATGGTACCTGATCTGGGGTGAAGCCTGCTGCTTCAAAGGAAGCCTGTTTAAGAAAAAAAAATAATATTTGAACCGGCAGAGCGAGTTCATCCTGGATCAGTGCCTTTCTCATGTGGTTTCACTACTTCTTACTTGGTATTAAGAAGCCTAAAAGTGGGTTGACTGAATTGTTGGACCACTGCCTCTATTTCCTGTGCCTAATCGAGAGTTGGTGGTGCCTCACAGGTGTCTGGAAAGTGTTTCTACATGGCAGGTGCTTTCAGATATTGAATATCTTGCAATACTATTGCAAAGCTAAATTCTAAAATAATGTGTGTTATTGTTTACATTTAGCAAAAACCAAAAGCAGTGTAATGCAATTCCTCTCATCGTTCTGGCATGTTGTTTTATTTTCTAATAAATCAGCTGGTTCTGCCACTGTGCCACTAACTCTGTAGATCATCTAAAGCAGCTGTCTTGGCTCCTACCTCACTCATGCCCGGGATTCCACGGTGACTCTGATCCCTTGCTGGGATGTTCTTGGATGGAGCTGCTTCCACTGAAAACGCCTTTGTCAGCCTTACAGGAGGATGCAGATTGCTATGTATGATTTAAACTCCTCTGCCCAGCACCCTGTTCATTAAGTTTCTATTTTATAAGCTCTGCCTCCCAAGAGCCCAGCTAGTAAATTCCCAGCAGCCTCTCCTTAAGCTGCCTTCTTTAATACAGTGGTATTAAATCCACTGGCACGTGGATTAAGGGGTCCAGGCAAGGTGAGTAGCTGGTGTGAGGTTGTGCAGCAGTTAATGCACGGGGAGCCCTGGAGGGTTTTGCATCCTCCCAAGCAAGAGCATTGCAAACAGCGCCTGGACCAGGGCAGACTTTCCACAGGACATTAAAGAAAGCCTTCAGGAGGTTTCTTGGTGTCTGTACCTTATGTCTGTGCTGGCCAAATGACTAGAAACTATACCACAGAATGCAATTAATTATCTGAGGAGAGTCAACAGGGCTTCTGTAGAGGGAAGTCGTGTCTCATAAACCTCTTTGAGTTCTCTGAAGGAGTCAAAAAGCACATTGGTAAGGGTGAACTCTTTTATATTGCCACTGACTTCTACAGAGGCACAAAAGCTGTCATAAAAGTCAAAGTCCTCTGACAGACAATTAAAGCTGGGAGGTAGAGGGGGTGTTTCTCCAGGAAGGAAGGCTGTTGGTGCCATGTGTCATTAGTCAGGGGCTGGATAAGGTGGTCATTAAAAACTAAAGGATTGTTTGATGATGGACAGTTATTTAGAATGCTAAAGGAGAAGGTAGACTGGGATATTGCAAAAAGCTCTTATGAAAGTGGGGAAGTCATTGTAGGTATGTACCAAAGGATGCTGTGCTTCACCTTTCAAGTGATGTGCTCTTTTCTGGCCCCTGCCACTTGGGCACAAGGGCTGGGGGCTCTGGTAACCACTCTCACTCAAATATTTCCACATCTGGCAGCAGTAGAGGCAAACCATATATCAGGAATGGATGGCTGGAGAGGAGTAAAATTTAGAACACCCTCCTGCCTCTCTAAAGGTGCTGTGGCACCCACATCTTCAGGGCTTTGTGCAGTTCTGGTCCTTGCATTCCCAGGAGACTATAAAGGCTTTGGAGAAGAGCAATGGCATCAAGGAGTGAGATGCCTCCCTGGCCATCCATGCCCCCCGGGAGCTGAGGAGCAGCTCAGCCGAGGAGTGTGAGCTCCTTTCCCCTGGTCACCTTGATGTGTGTGGCACAGGGGTGGGTGCTGCTCTCAGCACTCCAACATGAGCTGTGAGGAGAGAATCAAAGGCCTTTTTTGAGTGGTGATGAGGTGCTGCAGCAGCACCAGTCAATCTTTGCAAGACCTCCCTGTGAGAAAGCTCTTGGTAACTGCCCTGAAATGACAAGGCTGAGCTACCTCAACCCTCATCTGACCACCCACAAATAATTTCCTGGTCCCCAAAACCCTCCCCAAGCCCTATTTCCTCATAGCTGAGGCCAGACAGAGGTTTCCACAGCTGCCCCAACACACAGAGCTTCAGCCAGCTTTGGAAAAAGTGGCTTTTCTTGCATCTGCAGCAGGAACAGGAGCCTAAAAATAATCCACCTGCCCCTTTTTCTTTCAGCAAGCATGGAGGAAAGCAGATGAAAAATAAGTGTGAACCTTCCTCTTCCAGATTTGAGGATAAAGATATCCTCAAGACTATTTTTAAAGGCTTTTTTTTTCTTCCCTTATTTTCATTTGTTTTTCCAAAACCGTTGGTACATGATTTTGCCCACAAAAGATTTTTCTTTCTGCAGAGTTGCATTTCATAAAGCTGGAAGCCTGCCAACCTTTTAGCACAAAGTAATCAGTCCAGCCTTTGTTTCCATGAGCAATTATGGGATTTGGGTGAATTTTATAGGATTTAAAATTTCTTGGAAAGCTGGTGGCCTTAGGAACCCAAAGGCTGAAAAATTATTTTGGTTTCTGAAAAAGTGATGCATTCAGGTGTCTCTTAGCCCAGCCTGGGATGTGACCCAAGTCCTTTGGACACACTTATCTCCCCATGAGGTTGGAAGACAGATGGGGCTGGCAAAGCCAGGCATGACGAGATTCCTAGGATACAAAGGTGTACCTTGCTTTCTGACACCAAAAGCTGGGTTTACACTTGTCATCCTCTGAAGAGATTATTTTTCTGACTAAATGGGGAAATAGGGAATAGCAGAGTGATCTGTAAACCACCACTGGGTAGACCACCCCAGTGCTATGTCCAGGGATACTCAGGGATGCCTCCTTCACTCATCTGTGGCCAGCTCCTGCCCAGAGAGCCTCCATTTGAGGATGGCCCATCAGTGTATCCACATTTTCTCTGTCGGGCTGTATCAGCTGGGCTGAATGTTTCTGAAGCTGCAGACCTTTTTCAGTTGAAATTCCTGGAAAAATCTGATTCAAAAGAATGTTGTATGGGAGAAGTGTGGCAGGGGAAATATGCGTTTGAATTGAGAAAAAAAATAGTGTTAATTCAAAAGGAATTTTTTTTTAAAAAATGAAGTTAAAAGGCCCTGGATCAGACTCTCTTTAAAGCCCACACAGCTTCCAGAGAAAACCATGCCTCATTTCTTGGATTAGGACTCAGCCGGTTCCTCTTCAGCCATGGGGAGAGCTGAGGAGATGCTGGGATTAGAGCAGGCTTCCCTTTGACATCTTTCTCCAGCAGCAGCATGCTCTGGGCAGTGCTCCCTGGACCTCATCCTGCCCACAGCCCCAGAGCACTGCAAACTCTCATGACCTTCCTGGCTGCTGAGCTCAGGCAGAAGCCTCTGCTGCTGGGCTCCCAAAAACCAGAGCACCCAGGCAGAGGAGACGTTTTGTTACAACCTAATTTGTTCTTGGCTTGATGCTACCCTCAGGACTAATTGCTTTATATTAAAGCATCTGTGAAAAGGAATACTAAATAAATAAAGTTGAGCCTGCTGGAGAAAAGAGATGCTACTCCATAAATGCAAAGCACCAAAACAGAAAATCAGCATTGCTCTTCATCTGCAATTCCAAGCAGTTTTGCAAACCCATCTCCTGGCTGCAGCCAGGGGCAAGTGGCACAGTGGGATGTGGGGATTGTTGCTGAGACATGGGCGCAAGTGGCACCAGCCACAGTGGCCACCAGCAGCAGCAGCAGCAGAAAAACATGAATGAGACACCCGCTGGTGCCTCGTCACTTCTCACAGCATCTCCTCAGAGAAGCATTGGCCTTGGAGAGGAAACACAAAGTGTTCGAAATGTGGCACCCCAAACACCCCAAATCCAGCCCTGGCCGGGTGTGCCTCCGTTTCCTTATCTGTTATGCGGAGCTGAACAAGACAAACCTCTCTGTGGAGGACTGTGAAGATCCCCAGATAAAAGCGCTGAGTACAGAGGAGGATGATTAAAGCCATCAGCACCCTTTGCTATGCACACAGTCTAAACAGGCTTGGGCCATCCTGGGCTCTTTGAAAACTGTTAGATGTTTTCAAGCTAAATATTTATTTTATCTGCCGGGACAGCCCTGTGTCGGTAGATCAGCTCACTCCCTCTGTCAAAGGCGTTCTCAGCAAAGTGTTACGGGCTCGGGCAGGACTCATGCACGGGCTGAACATGTGGGAAAAAATGCTGGAGCAGCCCAAGAGCCTGACCCTGCTCCCAGAGGAGCTGGGGCACCGCTTGGAACATGCACCAGCCACGTGATAGCACAGTGGGCACTCCCCACTGGAAACTTTGACTCAAAACCCTTGAATAGCCACACAAGGATGCTGTATTTTTTCCTTCCTCGTTTGGAAAAAAGGGTCTTGAAGGCCTTTGCCCGGGAAGCTGGTAAAATGTGATGTTTAATCAATTGAGAAAAGATGCCATCCGCTCAGGATGGGACAGGTTAGGGTTAAGGAGTGCAGGAAATGACAGTGACATTAGCTGGTAACTTGGTTTGTCTCAAGGTTGCTCCAGTAAAAGCTTAAAAAAAATAGGCATTACTGGAGAGTATTTAGCTTAAGTAAGTGACCCATGACATGAATTATTTTCATCCAAGAGAGAGAAAAAGAATTTGTGTGTTTGCTATTGCTTCCCATGGTGACAATGCAGATTTTGCCACCTATTTTTCAGGAACAGAATAAAGGAAGATTTTGCTATGAGGTGGTCTCGAGTCTGAGAGAGGAGCAGAGGGATTGGGCAGAGACATCTGAGAGCTGTGTCAGACCAGCGCCAGAGCCAGAGCCTGTGTTTCCTTGTCCCAGTGCTTTTACCTTAAGCCCATTAAAAATAGCATGGAGAAAACACCTGCATGCTGTTGTTGTTTTGGGCTGTGGTCTCCTCCTGGGAGACCCACTGTGTTTCCCCTCATTCAGATGGTACCTTTCCCCTGCAAATGTGTTTCTGCCCCACCCACTAACTGGATGCCCATGCACGACTTAAGGGGGTGCTCATGCATGAGCAAAAGAGGGTGCTTGGGTGTGTGCAGGTTGAGCACTAATGCATGAACTCCTCACGTGTGAATGAAAGCCTTGCTCATGCTTGAGCTGTTTGGGTGCTCATGGAGGGATTAATTGTGTGCTCATGCATAAATTAATTGGGTGCTCATGCATGGATTAATTGGGTGTTCAGGTACGGACTAAGTCTGTGCTCATGCATGAACTACTTGAGGCCCTGTGCAAGAACCAGCTGCCAGCTCACAGGTGAGCACAGCAAACCCTGCACTTCATGCTTGATACACCACTCACATGCCATGGCAAACTGGCTTAGGGCTACATGTGTTCTCCATCACCACTGGAGCAGGTGGGGGTGCTG